GCTCTTGCAGAGGTTCTGAGTTCAGTTCCTGGTACCCGTGTTAGATGTCTTACAGCCACTGGTAACTCCAGGGGATCAGATGTCGATGTCCTTTTTAGACTCCACAGTCACTTGTAGTAATATACACAGCCTAGCTTCCCCCATAATTAAAAATAAAACAGATCACCGGGCGGTGGTGGCTCATGCCTTTAATCCCAGCACTTGTGAGGCAGAGGCAGGCGGATTTCTGAGTTTGAGGCCAGCCTGGTCTACAGAGTGAGTTTCAGGACAGCCAGGGCTACACAGAGAAACCCTGTCTCAAAAAACAAAAAAAAAAAAACAAAAACCAAAATAATAAAATAAAATAAAACAGATCTTTTAAAAGATGGTAAGTTTACGCTATATGTAGTTTACAATAAGAAAGAATAGTGTAAATAATATATTTAGTAAAAGAAGAGTGTATTATATAATTTAACATATAATCAATGTTAAAAACATCAAGGAGCTGCTTTGCATGCTTTATATCACACTTTCTTAAAAAACATGTACGCCTTTTACATGTTAGCACATCCAATAACCATGTGTCACGTGATGTGTCACAGGGTTTCTTTGTGACCAAACGTAGTTCTTCAAATTCATCAGTCTTCTGTGACCAGCTGGGTGTCCCACAGTGTAATTCAGTTCTGACAACATCTATCTAGTGATGGCATCAGATCCCACAGGTGTAAATCTTAGCTTTGCCAAGTGAGATGGGGCATACCTGGGTTCTAAGCACTTGGAGAATAGAGTCAAGGGTATCTATCATGAGTTCAAAGTCAACCTTGGCCAGATAGCAAGTTCAAAGCCGGCCTAGACCACTTGACACCCTGTCTCAAAAACAACAATAACAAAAATAAATTAAAACGCAAACAAATAAGAAGGATCTCAGTTTTGCCAGACTGCCTTCTCCTTTAGATTTGGGGAGAACAAGTATGTTTCCAGGCTGCTCTTAGCCTCTGTCTGATTTGGCTGCAAATCCAAGGCTCTCACAATCCTTCAGGGATCCATCCTTTACTAGAAGTCTTCACAGAGGTCACAGAGAGCTTCCCTGACTCACCCAACCTATAACGAAAGGATACAACTCAGGAAGAGCCAAACTGAAGAGAGGTACAAGGCAAGGCATGAAGGAAGGAGTGGGAAGGTCCCATGCCCCATTGGGTGTAACACCCTCCCAGCACGCACAGGTAACACCTCAAGCCCCACTATTGAGGGGATATTGCTCTATAGAGGCTCTGTCATGAAGATATGGTCAACTGCTAGGCCAGTCTCCAGTCCCCTTCACTTGCTAGAGGTTGTAGGGTGAGGCTGAACATTCATTCTCACGTGGTGATCAGCCTCAACAGAGGATCAGGAAAAATAAATAAATAACGGTCCCTAGGACAAAAGATGCTTCTATAGCCCAGGGCATCCCAAGGGATTCAGTTCCATATGAGGGACTGAGTCAAAGGTGACATGTTAGGGCAGAAGAGGCTTCTCTATTGTTCTGGAAGTTATGAGCTTGGGAATTCCGTGCCAGGAATCGAGGACAATGACTCCCATATCTACTTGTTATTCCTCACAGCATGGCCTCCTCGTGTGCTCTGTACTGTTTCTACTCCAAGGGGAGGGGGCTGCCTAACCAAAGTCCAAGCACACCTCCTCTACAGGCCAAGGGGCAGAAGTTCCCGAGCCATTGCTTGTGACACAGATGGCTCCAGGATGCCCATCCTCAGGTATGGCGTGATACCAAGGTAGGGCTGAGAACACACCTTACGAGGCTCACTGGTCTCTGAGCACAGAAAGAGATGTCCTTGAAAACTGGTAAATATAGAAGGCAAATGACTTAAGGATGAATGAAGGCTTCAAGGCTAAGTCCTAAGGCACGCTGGCATCCTTATCGCTGTGGAAATTGCTTTTGATCCTTGGATAGCTGATTATCGATAAATGACTCTTTCATATTTCCTTCCTTCCTTCCTTCCTTCCTTCCTTCCTTCCTTCCTTCCTTCCTTCCTTCCTTCTTCCTTCCTCCTTCCTTTCTCCCCTCTTGATTCCTGTTGTCTAGAAAGTCTGTTTCTTATGTAAGGTTGGTAGTAACTTGGTGGACAGTCTTTCCTGACACTGCATTGAAGAAACATGACCCTTCACTGAACCAGCTGCAATGGGAAACTTGCTGGTGAGTTTCTGAAAGGATCTTGCTTGGGATCTTTAGCATCTTCTGAGACCTCTGACGTTCCTCTGGGGAGGGGTCAGAGTGTCTATGCTACAGTTAAATTCACTGCTAAGAAACCCTTTGCCTCCAAAACCATTCTCTCACTTGCCTGAAAGCCATCATATCAGCCCCTGGGAAGAAAAGATGAGGTGACCGTTTGGCTCCAGCTGGAAAGACTTCCATTTTGTGGGACCATCAGCTCTGAGGAAGGGGAGCACTGGATCAGTTAAGTGTGGGTTTTCTGGAACACCACCCTGTCAAACAGCCAGCTATGCCACATGCAGAACACTCATCTCTTAGCAGGGACTCAGCCATGTTCATCCTCTCTCCGCATCTGCTGTGTGTGCGCGATAGAGTGTGAGCATTGGTATATAAACAGGAAAGGGGTCCAGGGAGGAAAGGCCTCCTGTTGGTTTCTATCATCGTTTTACAGCCCCAGGGTCAGTTTCCTCTTTGGAAAGGCGAGTGAACAGCTGTCACCAGCAGTCACAGCCCTGTTATCTCTGAGGACAGGAGGCTTTGTAGACAGATGCCAGGCTTGTTTCTTAAGACAGGGGAGAAGGGGCGTGGTTACTGCCCATCCAGCTGCTTCTAAGACTCTGCCTTCCTCTTCTCCTGCTCCCTCCCCCACCACAGGGGGCTCCCTGGAATTGTGAAATGCATCCTATTTGTAACACTTTGGGCTCTCTGGTACCCTGCCCCCTTTACACTTTGCCTCAGAAAGAATGCCTATTGAGATGATTCTCATTTTCAGAGCCATTTATTTGGCTGCATAGGATCTGGTAACTGCCATATTTGGAGGGGCCCTGTGGACCCCATTCCAGGCCCAGCTGGGAAAGCCAGCTTTGCGCTTTGCAAGGCATCCGAATACTCTGCCAAGGTCCCACCACACCCACGGTGTGCTTCAGGCTTCCTCCTCTGCAGGCTGTGGATCTGAGGTGAGGCCTGCCCAATCACCTGTCTCAACCTCACGTCAGCACTTTGTGGACACTGGAGGCTTCAGTTGAGCCGAGGAGGCCCAGGATCCAAGGCTGACAAGGACATTGACATGGGTGCACAGCTTTGCTTCCCCTAAGGATTCACACCCCACAAATAAACATCCAACAAAGCCCAGATTCAGAGAAGTGCTTTGGGTGTGGAACTGGAGCCACATGGGGCCGGGGGCAGCCTGGGACAAGGGATGTGGGCAGGAAGCTGGCTCCTGGGGAGGGAAAGGCTGCCTTACTGGAGGATTCTAGGGCTGCTGCACTTGGACAGAAGTGAAGTCTGGAGGCAGCCCTCCTAGACAGCACTTGGGTCCACGAGGTATTACCAAGAAAACTGGGATTCCCTCTTTGGAGTTCAGAGTGAAGCTTGAGGACAGTTTGATTAAAATTTGAGAGTAAAACAACGGAACAGGTAAGCTAAAAGTCCCAGCAGTTTTCAGGAAGAGGGACAACATAGAAGAGAAAACAAGCCCAGGCTATGAGAAACAGTATGCCCAGGATTTCAGAGCCATGGAACTGAGTTTAAAGGGAAGCAGATTTCAGGCTCCCAGATCCAAGGTCTTACAATCATGCAGGGATGCACGGTTAGAACTAAGATTAGAGACGGCTTATTAAGAGAAGAAAGGCATTTCCAAGCATGAGAGTGGGCTGGCAAGCTGAGGAAAAAGTCCCCAGAGTCCTGGCTCATGTGGCCTGTGACCCAAAGAAACTTTTACATGTGTCCCCTGGGCTTCTCGAACGCACATTCTGTTCATCAGAAGAAGCCCAAATCAGAAAGTCCTCTGGACTGAAAGTCCTCCTCTTCAACTGGTGCCTGTCAAATGTCAACCTTGATGCCTCAACTCAGTCCATTCTCCTGCTACAGTAGGGAGAAACATCAGTACTGAAAACTGAGGTCCAGACTGGCCCCTGCTACCCTCAGCATCCAGCATTGCCTTCACCCTGAGCCCCACTCACATGCTACAGGGATGTTGGGTGCTCCGCTGAAGTACTTCCCCCACCCCAAAGAAAACATTCTGAAGTATATATAGCAAAGTGTATTTTTGCATCTTTATGTAAGTTTTAAAAATACACTTTGGGAAGATGGAGAGATGACTCATTGGTTAAGGGCACTTACAGCCCTTCCAGAGGACCTGGGTCTTCTCCCCAGCACCCACGTGGTGGCTAACAACTGTAACTCTAGTTCTAGGAAATCTTGACTTCTTATTCTGGCTTCCCTGGGCATCAGGCATACCCATAGTTTACAGATATGCAGACAAAACATTCATAAACATAAAATAGACATATATATATATGTAGTGGGTGTGGGTGTAGGTTTGCACGTGGGCACGCGCATGCGTGTGTGTAAATTGCCCTCAGATACAGGAATGGCAGGTTCATGAGCAGTGAGCCTGAAGAATCTGCCTCCCAGCCTTCTCTCCTCTTATAGGTCTATAGGGTCACAGCTTACTCCAGATTTGGGCCAGTGTGACATCAGGGTACAGGCCTTGTAGCATCCTTCCTTCTCACTGGCTAATTCAAAGCTGGCAGTGAAGGGAATCAGGAAAAAAAAAAAACTATCTGCTGGTGCCTGCTAACAACAGCAAGCTGGAATCACAGGGCAGTCACATTCACTCCCCCTTTCTGTCTGGGGAGGGACAGGCAGTGGGGCAGCAGACAGCAGCAACAGAGGCTTGATGTCTAACCTAGAGAAAAGATTCCAGCTGGGCTTTCAGGCCTCAGGCTCCCAGGCTAGGGAGGTGAAAGGTCCATCCTGGGAGGGGCTTGGGTAACAAAGGGCCTGTGTTACCTGAGGGTGTTTCTATGCAGCCCTGGCCAGGCTGCAGCTTCTTTGTGCAACTAGTCTCCCAGGCCAGGACCCTTGGGTGGTACTCCAGCACCCAACTAGGCAGTTTCCTGGTGGCCACTCCCAGGTAAGGGGCTGGAGATTCAGGCATTCAGAAAAGATGGCTGGCTGCCTAGGAACTGGTAAGACGGGTTTGTAGGCTGGCAGCTGCCAAAAGCTGCTAGAAGGCAATGGTTAGGAGAAATGTTCAGAGTGGGCAGAAGGCGGTGTCTGTACCTGGAGTCCCCCAACTCTACATTGGGCCACCCCCCCTGGGTATGTTGTAACTGACAATCTCTTTGCTGATTGGGAATCAGTTAACCCAGAATAAAATCTGAACTTCTGGGATTCTCTCAAGGCTCGATTCTACTCTAAACACCCGATACCATCTGAAAAAAGTTTAGACCCAAAATGTTTTCAAGCCAGGAGTATGGCTTGGAGGGTGTGCGTGGTGGGGGTTATTGTTTATGAAGGAACAATCTTCCTGTTGTTGAGGTATGCTCATCATGTCATTGTCCGCAGATGCTCTCCTTGGAAGCCAAGTCTGTCCTTCAGTGTGTCATAATGCTCAAGAGCCCTTCCTTCGCCAGCGCACTTGAAGATTGATTCTATTTGTTGTTCTAAAATAATTTTTTGAAGAGAGATGAGGATTCCTCGGCCTGTGCTATTTATGGATTCTGTAGCCCAGGAAATACTTTTTTTAGGACGTTTGTCTCACTTGCAAGATCTTAAATAAGATGGGTGTGGTGGCCCTTATGCCTGTAATCCCAGTACTTGCGAGACTGAGACTGGAGGATAGGGAGTTTGAGGCCAGCCTGGGCTACATAATAAAAAAAAAAGAAAAGAAAAAAAAAGAGTATCTGTTCCAGAGCAGCTTTTGGTTCTGGGGAAACAAGTTAATGTTTGTGAGAGGAACTCTAAATCAAATGCCCTAGCAAGAATCTCCGGACCAACGGAGCTTCCGGCCTCCTCCCTATCACGTTTTCCCAGAACCTCTGGCAGGGAGAGCTGAGGCAGCCTGTTTGGGGTATCCCTCGCTCCATGCTTCCTTCCTCTATAGAGTTCAGCCGTCCTGCGCCAGGCCAGACATTGTTCTCTCCTTCCTCGCTGGAGGAAAGTCCCTATGGCCCATTTTCTGAGCAGTGCTTTTCCACCCTTTCGTAATCTCTCACTGTGACCTTGAGGGGCAGGGAGAGAAGGCTTTGGCAAGGGCGCATTTCTCGTGGAGCCAGAGCCCTGCTGTCTGTGCCCTGGTGTCATATACTGGCTGTGGCTAACATCCTACATCCTTCTGTGCTGGCACCTGCATCCGGGTATAAGTAGCTCTGTGTGTGTGTGTGTGTGTGTGTGTGTGTGTGTGTGTGTTTAGAGAAAGGCACTGAAACGAGAGACAGAGAAAGAGAAAGTACAAAGAATCAAACAACTTTTCGAGGTCTGCTGGTAAATTTGACTCTCATCAAAGACAGTGATAAACCCTAGACACCCCGTGTGAGGAAGTCCATTCTTGAAAGAAGATAAGGATTCTGGGAGAACAGCAAGGAACAGAAGGAAACATTGCTTCATGAGATGAGAGAGGGCAAGAAGGAGGATGAAGAGGAGGAGCAGGCTGAGAGTGCCCCATGCAGCCAGGTCGCCAGCCTTGAGACTCAGGCAGGAGGGCTTCACTCTTGGGCCCGTGCTCTCAGCTCCCCTCTCCCAGCCTTCATCTCCCCTCACCCTGGTCAGGGTAGCAGAGATTTTGCCAGCGTACCTCATCAGACGAAATGAAGGGGAAATCTGATTTGCCTCTAATTGGACTTACTGCAGGCAATTAGGGTTAAGCTGGCATGAGGGGGCTGCCAGATAGGGGGATTTTTCAAGGCTGCTTTATCACAGTCCCGGGAAATTCGGCCGGAGCTCAAGTGTTGTAAATCAGGGCATTCACCTACACTATCATCTTTTAAATCAGACCATTTTGCCTGAAAATAACCAGTGTACGAACTGACACATTATATACATATATGTATACCATATACATTTATATATAATAGATTCCATATGGTATACAGCTTGTGTTTCTAACTATATACTAATTATTGTTTATTTGCTTGGAGGGTGAGATACACATACATTTATATATTCTGCACATATACTATAGATAGGACTGGAGAGATAGCTCAGTATATAATACTTGATTAGCATATGAAAGATCCTGAGTTCAAGTCCCAGAATTGAAAAAAAAACTCATGTACACACACACACACACACACACACATATATATATATATATATATATATGCACACACACATACACACAAATATACATACTATATCTATGGCATGTACACATATATAGATATACATATGTTATCTGGTATATATTATATGATATAAAGTATTTTTTAAAGATAGGGTTTTTGCTGAGCAGTGGTGGCACACGCCTTTAATCCTAGCACTGGGGAGGCAGAGGCAGGTAGATCTCTGAGTTTGAGGCAAGCCTGGTCTACAGAATTAGTTCCAGGAGAGCCAGGGCTACACAGAGAAACCCTGTCTCAACAAACAAACAAATAAACAAACAAGGTAGGGTCGTTCATTAAACCCAGAGCTTACTGGTTTAGCTGGGCTGGCTGTCCGTCAGACTTCAGGGATAAGCCTGTCTTCCCACTATCACTGGGGTTAGAGGCATGTACTCCAAGGCTAAGCTTTGCACTCAGATCCCAGGGCTTGTACAGCAGTCACTTTACAGACTGAGCCATCTCTCCAGTCCCAGGGCCACCACCTTCACTCAGCATCCTACAGATCGGGACAGTAGTATGGATGCTTCAAATACTGTGTGTGTGCCCGTGTGCGTGTTTGTGTGTGCGCATATGCATGTGCGTGCCAGTAGCACCAGCAGCTCATAGTGTTACAGTTCTTGGGCCACCTAAATGAGTCTTCCCCTCCCCCAGGGACAGAGCCTGCCACCTGCTTTCGTTACAGCAACTGCCACTTCTGTTTCCATTTCTGGTGCCCAGTGACCTCGAAGGGAGTTGAGGAGAAACACACAGACACATGGTCTTTATCAGCTGGTGGGAAGCTGCTCAGACACAATGTGGCCCCAGTGTTTCTGGTGACAAATGCAGCCTCCTCTGAGACAATGTTTCCCTCTGGATGTATTAAGAACACATTTTCTAATATCAACCTTTTTATTTTTTTGGCACTCACCCACTCCAGCAGATTCTATTAGACCTGCTATTCTGCATGTTTCAGGGCTGGGCTTATTTTGTGACCTGGGTCCTTCATTGCTATTCTCCCTCAATAGACTGACTGACTGTCGTCACCTCAAGGTGTTCAGACCTTCCAAAATGAGCCACAGACATATATGGGGAGCAAGGGATAGCAGGGCATCCCTAACTCCTTTAGTTCTGAAGCAGACTGTTACCCAGAGCCTGGTAGCTTTTGTTCTTGGATTACCTGCAAAGAATCACATGAGATCAAGCCAACCAAAATTCAGACATAGATGGGAGGGAGAGATACTCTCCTGGCCCCACCCCTTACTAAGGAGAAGTTAGTATCTGCTAAAGGAGGAAGAATTTGGTTTTTTTGAGGGTTTAGCCACTGGCAGATTTTCTATGTCCCTGTGGAGGGCTTCATGCCTGTGCACTACTGGACTTATTGGGTTATCAAACAAAAAAAGGGGAGGCAATGTTGGGAGAAGAACTTGTAGAAGAGATATGAGGGTATGGTTATATTTCATTGGAAACGTACGAAATTCTCAAGAATAAAGAAAACCATGTGTGGCTAGATAATAGATCCAACTGTAAGTTAGAAAAAATAGAGAATTGCTTTATAACAAGTTCATTCTCTTGATAGCTACCCCTCCCCCATGGTGACAACACTAAGCTACGACCTCTTACAAGGCCCCATTTTCCAGGGCTGCACTGGGATGGTTTCCAATACCTGAATCTAGGGACACAGTCAAACTGCACCGCCCTTTGCCAGCAAAGAGACTGATGGCGCCTAGTCTTTTGCTCTTGGGTTGCTGCTCTGCAGCGCCTCACCCTTATCACCAGTGAGACCCCTATTAGCAGTGAGCAGTGTCCTGCTGCCTGCTTCCCATGTGTTCACTCGTCCCCAGACCTAGCTTATGGGTACTGAGAAATATCACTTCTCATGTTTGCTAGCTTGATAACACATAGTTATCTCTCTATATTCACAGGGGAGTGTGTGTGTGTGTGTGTGTCCAGTAGTTGGCAACCTGGCTAGCAGTCAGAAGCAGATTGACACACGCATATAGAAAAGATCACTTAGGTTGTGAACTTCCATGTAGCAGATCGTCTGCTCAGTCATATTCTACTTTTTCCCATTAGATGAATGCGGTTTAAGAAGAAAAGAAATGGCAGAGGGAACAGAATGGGCATTATATGCCAGGAACCCACATGGTGAGAAGAGAAAACTGACCAGAGGAGTGGATTCAAACTGGTTTCTCTGACAGGTTCTATTTCTGTCTTTCAGATGGCAAGCCAAGGCCAACCATAGTGTCTCTCTCTTTATGCTCCATTCTTTTTGTGTCTGTGTTCCTTTCAAATATTTCTCCAAATCTGTATCCCTCACCATTCTGTGTCCTCCATTCTAAGGAAGATCTCTGGGCTGGAAATTCAATGGCAGCTTGTAATTTGTGAGGTGGTTTTCTTATGTTTGTGTCTCACTAGATAGATGATGGTACTGGGGATTGTGAGACCTTGTCAGCAAGGGGTGACACATGATGACACCAAGAAAAAGGACGATACATCTCAGTAGCTAAGTGAAGGCTCCCTAAACTTTATACAATCCATCCAGAAAACAGAGCTTCATTGTTTTGGCCAACACAATGCCTAGAGGTACAAAATGTTAACTGTCATACAGTTTTCCCTCATGACCAGAAAGAGCAGTAGTGTCACGCTCCCCAGGACAGAGCAGCTGGTCCTGAGAGTCAGTTGCTGATTCTTTTCTTTTTGAATCTTTTACCTTGTTTTCTGTTCATTTGGCAGGGCTGGGGGAGGGGAGTGTTAGCATCATGGAGGAGTATGAAGGATGAGGCCCAGCTCACGAATCTTATCTTTTTCTTTTATCATAGCCTCATACCTGGCTGAGTCTTGAAATTTCCAGTTTACCTGGGACGGGTCCAGGTGAGTGACAGAGCTTTAAGCTAGAGCCAGGTCTGACTCTCTAAGCCTTTGCTTTCTGGATCCTTCCAGATGAAAGCTGTTTGCATCAGTCAGATGAATGGAAATGGTCCTGTTGCTTTGTCTAAACCAAGTCAACCCAGAGTTTGATCTATATCTTTGGTATAGATCTTGGGTCTTAGCCTGCTTAACAGCCTCAATGTGGGGGGTGGAGGGTGGAGGCTTGGGGGTGGGTGATGGTGGTGGTAAGATGTTATGTGTTCATTAGGGTAACTGAGTTCCCTTGGGAACTAAACACTTTATTATTGAACCACAGGTAACCTGGCTTTAAGGAACTAGGCTCCACATTGACAAGAACATCAAACAGCTAGAGATTGACATTACTAATCTGAAGAAATCCCTCGTTTCGCTGTCTGAAGAGACCTCCAAAAATCACAAAGATCCTTATTGGATTTGATTTACTCTATTATAATAGAAAGGGCTGTGTACAGCTCTTGACTGTGTACAGCCCTTAAAGAAGAAGGTTGCCTTTACATAGACAAAGACAGGGAGGGTTAAAGAGAGCATGAAAAACGTCAGAGAAGGCCCTGAGAAAAGTCAGAGAGAGAAAGCGAAAGATGAGTGCTAGTACTAGAATTGGCTTTCAACCTCTCCAGGGTTGTCAACCCTACCTCCTCTCATCTTGGGACCATTATTTGGGTTCTTTTTGCTTATTTCTTCTGGTCCCTGGGCCTCAAGTAGGCTGACTAACTCTGTTAAACAACAGATAAATAATTTGGTAGCAAAACCTATTCAGATACATTATCATAAGTTAGCTATGGAGGACCACGAGACTCAAGATGAGGTTGTTACTTTATCCAGGGTGTTCCCAAAACCCATCTCCACCCAACCTAAAAGAAGGTACTTCTGCCCCTAGACCAGGCAGAGAGGGGCCACCCAGAACCCCCTCTGACAGGCGACCGAATTCTTGCTTAGGCTGAGAGGCTAAGCACTGCAAGGGAATATCAATAAAAGTTAAAAATATCTCTCTGGGTTCCCTGAGGGACAAGCCTGACTGCATAGGGGTTGATGTCAAAAGTATCCCCTCTCCAGGAAAAAGACATTGGGATGGGTATGGCCCTCATGCCTCACTGGACAACGACAGGGGACCGGAGCCATTGCAAGGTCCCCTTCAATTACTGGAAGTCAGGCCTCTATCTCCGCCTTCGCAAGATTAGATTTGCCACAGCCCGTCTATACTTAGAGAAGGGAGGAGATTTCAGGGGCATCCCTGCTTATACACTGAAGGCCTAAAATCAGCCATAGGCCTAAAATCAGCAATAGGCCTGTCATACATGTATTCTAACACCAAGTCTTGGGTCTCTGTGGATAAACACTGAAACAAATGGCTATAAGCTATTGTAAACAGGCAGTTTTTGTGACAATTTACCAGCCTGAGTAGTCACAGACCTTGTAAATAGGTAGACTTGGCAAATATTACCAACTTAGATAAGGACAAGTGAATCATAGGCAGAGTCATAATGACCTATCCCCTGAACCCTCACCCAGCCGATACCCTGTTCTGAAAAATATCTGTATCCCCCCTGAACACCCACGCTCCAGTGTCATCCCCTTCCCCACGTCCTGCCTTTTTGTGTTTATAACCCCTGTGTGAATGAGTATAAATTACAATTTGAAAAAAAAAATAAATTATATATATATATATATATATGGGAAAAAGGAACTAGGCTCCAGCTATCAGCAAACTCAGCCCCCACACCAAGTTGAAAGACAAGCCAGGCCATGCAGATTAACAGCCTTACATAATACACCAGCTTGTTCATGGTGCTTAGTTACTGAATTCTCACTGTTACCCAAATCTTGATGTACTAGTTCAAATTTCTTTTTTTCTAAACCATCTACTGATATTTGTCTTCATTTTTCTGTAGTTGGGGTCAATGGTAGGAATTCATATTTTAACTCAAAATGTGCATGTTGGTAACGTGTTTTGCAGTGATGTGTGTAGCTGATTTGTGTGGGTTTCTTGTGAGATTTTTTTTTAAGGTGTCATGGTTTGAATATATTAGGTTTTAGCAGAAAGATACCTTAATTGGTCCCTGCCAAAGTATGTCAAAAAGATTATATCATACAACAGATCTCATAAATGAGATTTGGAAGTAGGGGGTGTGAAAGGCCATCTCGAAGTGGGAACATGAGAGAGATAGAGACAGACAGACAGACAGACAGACAGACTAGGAGACAGAGAAAAAGAACAAGAAAGCCATCTGAGTGGAGGGGACCTTTTAAAGAATTGGCAACTAGTGATGACATAACTTCTGGTTCTGAGTCCCTGAGGACAGACTTTGGGAACACCTGATTTCTAACAGACCCTGAGGCCTAGCACATGCTAGGCAAGCACTCTACCACTAAATTGCATCTTGCTACTGATCTGCCATGGTAGGAGTGAAATTTCACACTAGTGAAATTGGCAAGTACTACTGTCAGTAGCAGAAGAGACTCTGGGTCCTGAGTAAGTGTATATTGTTGGCTCACCCATATCCAGGACTGCAGAACCTCAGACCCACAGGAACTCGGAAAGCCTTCCTCTGGTCCTTATGGTGACAGAGTGTACAGAAAGCCTCAGGGCATCTCCCCTCTCCCAGATGTTCACAGCCTGGGACTCTCTCCTGCAGAGACCTCCCATGAAGACTAGCAAACTCCTCTGCATCATAATTAACATGCTGGGCTTCCTGGTTGCAAGCTGCTGCATCTCAGAGCCAGGATCCCAGCTTTTCTGTTCATGTGTCTGTGATTCTGTCCCCTCTCCACTCCCTTCTTGCCCCAGTCAACCTTCCAGGACCAAGCTGCATGTACTACATCATGGCGTTCCCCCCCCCACCCCACCCTCCTTTCTAAATCCAGCTTACCAGTGTATCACTACTGTTGGCTCAGACTGGAGCAGCCTGGGAGAGATGGCAGCTGGTTATTTTCCTGAACTTTTTTTTAACTTTTGTATTTTGTCAGTGAATGATTCATAATGGAACAAGAAGAGAAACCTACATTAAAATCGAAGTCATTCTTCCTAAAGCGACGAATTCTGTGAGAAAAGCTCTGTCTGATGGTGTAAGCCTGTTACCCTAGATATCTGAGAGGTCCAGGGAGCAGGATCTCAGAGGGAAGCCCTGCCTAAGCTTTAGGGTAAGCAGAAGCTCAGACTGACTAACTTAGAATAAAAGGTAGAAAAGGGACTGGTGGTATCCATGGCTCAGTGACTGATAGCTGGTCTAGAATACATGACGCCTGGGTTTCATCCTCAGTATGAACAAAGAACCATGTGATGGCAGTTCTACCAGTCTCAGAAAGGAGACACTGATACCTAGGCACCTTGGAGATGATGTTGGTACTTGGCTGAGACTCAACAACTATGAGAAACAACAGGTCCAACACACTGCGGCGGATGCTCAGCTAAGAATTGTCTCCTCTGACTTTCTTCAGACTCAGCCATAACAGAAGGAGGCTTCCTTGGCCCCGAGTTGTTACCATAATATTCTCCTCCCCATCCTAGAGCACAAAAGTCACCACCTTGCTTCCTGGAGAAATACCTGTGTAAGAATGCTAAGTGTTTAAGCCCTCAGCATCCTTCAGATCGTGCTGCTTAAAGGCTCTCAGGCAAACACTTGGGAACAAAACAAACGCCTGTAGGAAAAAGAGGACATTTGAGATTCTTTTCCCTTTAGTGGAGCAAAGTTGTAAGCAGTCATTGTACAAAAGGAACTGAAGTGGAAAGCGCCTCCCATCTCCATTATATGGTCCTATGAAGAAAAGAGACATCTACACATCTTCTCAGGTGTCATGTTCAGTACACGTTCCTTGCTGTAGTCTCTCTTATGGAGAGGGAGGGACAAGTTCCTTTTGAGACCAATGAGAGGAAGTCCCTGAGATGACATCTGAGGTCTAAATAAATGTCTGGGAGGGACCAGCTTTACAAAAACATGGAGGAAGAGGAGACATAGAGTTGTACCCTCTCTGTACCCTTGACATGAAAGAAAGAGCAGGTGATTTGATGAGGCACAGAGAGGATGCCAAGCAGCCACCAGAACATCCACGAAGCTCTAGGGCTCTTGTCAGCCAGGGCAGGCATGTAATTTTATAGTAAACATAGAAGTCTCAGGTTCCTCACTTTAGTAAGGCAACCAACAATCAAAATGGCCTTCCAGGGGATGCGTCAGACATTTTCATTTTATAAGCAAGGGTAAGGACACCTGTGATCTGAGTTCTCAGAAGGCTAAGGTAAGAGAATCCTGAATTTGAGGCCAACCTAGGCTACATAGTAAGTTTCAGGCTTATCTGGCTATGCAGAGTGAGACCAACCAACCAACCAACCAACCAAAGAAACAAACAAACAAAAAAGGGAGTTTTCATCAATAGATAAGTGGATAAAGAAACTATATTCATAATGAAACACCAACCATTTAAAAGGGTGGAACCCTCTCATTTAACAATGCAGATGGAATGGGCAGATGCTACACTAAGTGAAATAAGCCAGGCAGAGGAAGACAAACACTGCATGACCTCATTCATTTGTGGAACCATCAAAAGGTGATTCAGACCTACGAGATGGCTCAGCAGCTTAACACATTTGCCACCAAACCAAAAGAACTCAGTTCCTTCTCTGAGGGGCCCACATGGTGGGAAGAAAGGACTGATTCTCACAGGTTATCCTCTAACTTCCGCTTAAGTGCTCAGCAGGTGTGTGACCACACACACCCCCACCCCCCACACCCCAACACAAAGAAACTTGTGTCCCATAAAAAGAAGGAGAAGAGTTGTGTAACATCTATAACATCTAGGGAGGATGGAGGGAGAGGGGACAGCAGGTCCCAAAACACAGACAGGAGGAGTGAGTCCCAAGACACTCGGACTGCCATGTACAATTTGTTTTTAAGGAACTAGAAAAGAGTTGAGTGAGGTGATCCATCTCTGCAACCCCAGATCTCAAAGGCAGATGCTGTAAAATTATAGTCAGTTAGATGCTGGCTGATATATACAGTAAGTTCCAGGCCAGCCTGGGCTTGTCTGTCAAAACAACAACAACAACAACAACAGTGACAACAATGACGGGGGCGGGGGGACTTCAAATCTTCCTATCACAAGGAATGAGAACTGTTTATGGAGAGGGATGTGTACTTGCTCTTGGTACAATCTGTGCTGTGCATCAGATTATTACACTAGAGCCCCTAACAATGGCAAGTGCTGTATGTCAGGCTTAAAAGGAAAAATGACAAACAACCAAAAGTGTTCTAAAATAGAAGGTAGGTAGGTAGGTAGATAGATAGATAGATAGATAGATAGATAGATAGATAGACAGATAGATAGATAATGCTCCCGGGAGGTGGGTTTAGTAATGTCTCAGGTATATTCTTTGCAGTTAAAATAAGATACAATACT